CGAAGCTCCACCCCCAGCCCCACTCCACCATTGTTCCTAAAAACTCTCCTGAGCCAATCTCTCAGCCATGACACTACTCCCTAAACCTCCAACCCACCTCAGCCTCGTCAGCTACAGCCTTTGGTTGCACCTTCTTGAATTCCTCTTATCCAACAGCCCAATGTCTCCAGGCGCCCCACCGGGCTCCCTCGGTCCTTTTGAGCACTTCCTTGCTTCCCGCTGTGGTATTTGCCAGAGTCCTTCCCTTCAGCAAGGCAGGAAGATGGGGAAGCATCCCAGGGAGGCAGTGTCCACGGTGGGAGGGTTACTGGGGAACCTTGGTACCTTTATGAAGGCGAATGACAGCAGGTGATGTCAGAATCTACAAGAGACTGGGTTCTTACCCAGGCTTGGGTGAGAATGGGCAGATCAGTTGTGCTTTGGTAGTGGAATATAAACAAGAAAATCTAGGAAAGACTTGTTAGGAATTTCCAAGATAGAAGCTGCTCACAAAATACTTTCCACCTCACTCAACCGAGGAACTTACCTTTCAGTACAGGAGTGGAAAAGCCAGAAGAGGTGAAATGAACCCGGAGCCCGCTGCCCGTTCAACCAGACTGCCTAGCCTTGGACCTGCTTGGTCTCTGCCAGCAGAACTTCCCACTCTTTCACACAAGAATGCACCAGCACAGCAGTGGAGGGGACCTGGTCAGATCAGAACTTCTGGCCTCTTGCCAACCGGAAGTGGCCAGGACCCTGCAGGCCTCCATTGCCAGGAGTCACCATTTGGGGACATAGACCCTTTAGTGGTCTACAGAAGTCTGTGCAGCCCTTCTCAAAAGAATAAACTTAGATGTATAAAATAAAATAATAAGATTATAAAGAAAACCACTTACAATGAAATTCAGTTATCAAATATTTAAAAAACAAAATTGTGATATGGTAATGTCTATGCTTCTTAATAACCATAATCAATAAGATGATCTACCAGAAGGTCCAATAGTTAATGTAAATTAATGTGGATGATTATAAATGATAACTTAAGATATCTTCTACAATAATAAATATCTGAAATTATCTATAATGCCTACAGGTGACAAAATTACAGGTACCCTATATAATTGTGGTTATATATATCATATCTATTAT